TATGGTGACTTTTGATAATAAAAGTTATAGACTGGATACACCTCAAAAAGCCAAGGATTTTTATTTACTAATTTTAAAGGCTGAAAAAGCATCACCATCGCAATCTGGAGAAATGGGAGGATTATCAAAAATGTTGGAAGCATTATCGGTACAAGGGAAGGCACAGACTCAACAATCTGAAGCAAGAGAAGAAGCGAATTATGACCCATGCTGCTTATAGAAGAAGAGAAAAGGGAAAAAAGGGGATTTAGATTTCTGACTTCGATTGTTTAATTGAAATGATTTAACTAGATATCTGGTTAAGGTTGAAGTAATAATAAAAGTTTTGTGGTATAATGGGTGGAGGGATTCTTTAAGGGAAATTGGAAATGTTTTTATGTATGATTAGGGCTATTTTCTCCTCTTTTTAGTGTTTTTTTTTCTCTTACTTTTGGGGGGAGATTGAAGGATCATAGATGGGATATATTTGAGTGGTAATATTTTTTGTTTAGTAGTTGTTTCTATTTAATTATATGAAATGAAAATTTTCTTTATGTTAATTAGGAAAGGATTATTGTTTAAATTATTTATGTGAATTTATTTTTTTTCTTTTTAGTTCGTTTAAGGATTAGGTAGATTATAAATTAGTACAGTTGTAATACTTTATTTGGAGTTAAAGGGGTGTGTAGATTGTTAGCATTATAATTGTTTTAATTGGATTAATGATTGTAGAAGAATTATGGAAATATGAACTTGATCCTGTATTCAGCTCCGGGAAGCCGAGGAGGGTATGGGGGGAAAGTTAAAGTTAATGTATTGTGTATATTGGAAGATGTATATTTTACAATAAATAAAAAATTTAAGGGAAAAAAAAAAGGATTGCCTGGAAGGCCAAGGATTGCCTGGAAGGCCAAGGATCCAGTGATTCCCCCTGGCGGATTCCTACCTGGTACTCCTGGAAAGCCTCCTCCGCCGGGATCACCAAGTGGCCCCTGTGCTCTTGGGATAGGTTGCAGACCACGCAGATGAGGGTCTCGTGGTGTTTACAAAAGAGCTTGAGGGGCTCCCGGTGCTTCGGGCAGAGGCTCCCTCCGTCCTCGCCCCAAGGGCCTCCATATCGCCTGGCCATTTCCAGCACCCGCGCCAGCTGCCTGTTGGGCAGGACGTTGCGGGGCCCGAAGGTCTGTCTGCACTGGGGACAGGAAGCCTCCGATTCCGACGTCCCCCAACTGCGGGTCAGGCAGCCCCGGCAGAAGTTGTGGCCGCACTCCGGGATGAGCACGGGGTCCTGGAAATACTCCAGGCAGATGGAGCAGGTGGCTTCTTCCAGCAAATCCTGCATGGACGCTGCGGTCGCCATCGCTGCCTCTCCCGCCGAGAGAAGGAAAGAGAAAGTTAGTTTCTCGCCTTTTCCTGCAAATCAGGTGACCGCCTTTGGGCTCTGTCCAGACGGGAAACCGAGACGAGTGACTGTTGCTGTCGCGGTCAGCTTCGGTGGCTTCTTAAAGGAGAACGACAGTATTTTAAAAAGAACAAATTGGGGAGAAGCAAACATCCACGGGACGGAGCCCCGATCAATTATTATTGGCCGAATCAGTTCGTCAAAGGGAAAATTGTTTTAAAAACTGGGGAGAAGCAAACATCCACGGGATGGAGCCCCGATCAATTACAACTGATCCCAGTGTGAGAAGGATCCATAAATCTGTATGGAATGTATTAGAACTGTTGTATAAGAAATATTGACCTAAGCTCTAATAAAGTTATCAATAGCTGACAGGAGCCTCATTAGAGGGGGGGGGAGCCGACAAGCCATAATAGAAAGGAAAACTTTTAAATTCACAAGCGAACATGATAATTAAATACATCTTTTAAATTACAAAAACAAAAAAGCAAACACACAAAACTTAATTTTCACTAGGTAAACTTATTTATAAGGGAAAAGATTCAACGATCGCTTGATTTAATCAGCTCTTTTTCTGGGTTAATAAGAATGTTAAA